GCGGAAGCGAGGGCTGCGGAGCAGGCAGCAGCGGGGCTGAAGGCGGTGGCGGCCTCACAGATTTCCCAGCCTGAGTGGCAAGGGAGGCTGGAGGCAGAATCAGTGGCAGTTGGAAGACCTCAGGGAAGTGTCAGTTGGAATGTTGTGCGAGCTCTGGGATGGGACCGGAAATGGGGTCCAGGGAAGGGGGGGCGAGCTTCCAGTTCGGGGGTGGGGCCGGGGGCGGGGCCTGAGTGATGTGTTCCAGGTTCTGCTGGAGCCTAAATGAGGCAGGGCAACCCCACGCTGGGCACTTGGCATTTATTAAGTTTTAAATTATGTGATAATGTGTCTATTTTCCAAGTACTTTATTTTGTTCTCTAACTGATCCCCTCCATTACAGCCTGTTCTTATTCAAACTCAAATACATACTCTTATTCAAATTCATAGTCTTATTCAATTCATATTCATACTTTTTTTTTTTAAGATTTTTTATTTATTTATTTGACAGAGAGAGAGAGATAGTGAGAGAGCGAGCACAAGCAGGGGGAGCGGCAGGCAGGCAGAGGGAGAGGGTGAAGCAGGCTCCCCGCTGAGCAAGGAGCCCGATGTGGGGCTGGATCCTAGGACGCTAGGATCATGACCTGAGCCGAAGGCAGCCGCCCAACTGACTGAGCCACCCAGGCGCCCCCTTATTCATATTCTTAATTCAAATTCATATTCTCAAAATTCTGGGTATGAATTTTAATTTTTTGGTAAAGTTCTCTTCTGTTTCCTGTATTTTTTTTTAACCTCAGGAATTGTTCTGTTTGTTCATCATGACCTTCTCTTTCACTTTCCTCAAATATTTTACAAACCTTTTCCATGCATACTTAGGAATAAAGGGCACATTTGATTAACCTATGTAATTAGCATGTATCTGATCCACAGTTGTGATGTCCATTTCACTAACAGGCTTTTCCTTGAACAAGAAGGCAAAGTACATCAATAAGGGAGTGGTCTCCTTCTTGACACGTGTATCATTGGTCTTTTTGGCATTCACAATATTGGTCCAGAGATGGAAAGAATATTACCTGATTTGCCTGTCCCAAATGGTATTGTTCTTAAGCATTTTAAAACAGTAAAATTAAAATGCCAGCTAAGAGTAAGTACCAGCCACCAATTTTTCCATTTCAATCATATCTGAACTTGAATAAGTATATTGTGATGTGTCTTTATGGCCTAATAATGGCCTAATAAGAACCAGCATAAGAAACCTAGAGGTAAGTTGTTTCATTGTAAAACTCCTGGCATAACCATCACCAATTAAATTAGGAGGGAACTATGTTCAATGCAAAGCAAGGAAAGGGGAAGGAGGGGTGGAGAAGACACTGAATTAGGAGAACTGGGTCCTATTTTGGGCTGCACCAATTTCTATGGAAAAGGAGTAAATTGACTTCTTTGGGGCTATTATTTGAAAAATGAAGAGCTTGGCCTATTTGGTTTTCATGGACCCTATCAATTATAAATATTACTGGAGCCTATTCCATGAATCTTTCTTCAGCCATGGAATGGAAGGAAAAATCAGCCTATAGTCTATTCATGACAAGCAGTGACTGGTATCAAATATTAGCTTTGGGAATGGGACAATACCTTAACCTTCAAATAATAATGCTGTTTCAATTTATGGCATTCATGCAAGTCTTTAAAGCATACACTTGAAGAAAAGGCACAGCCATCTTTGCTCAGTTGGTTGTTTTATGTGCATTGGGAGAATAAATTGTCTGTTTCAGCTTGATAGTACCCAGGACCTAGGGCTAACACTATAGGGCTATCGCAAAGTTCCAATTCCCTTTGCCACTGATTTTATTGTACTTTGGAAGTAGCTCGACGAAATCTTATTTCTACAGGTACCGATATTCCAACTATGAGAGCCACTGTCAGCCTTGTCCTAGGGAGACTATGCCCCAACGTGGGGGGTGGGGGGAGGGGGAACAGTGACAACTCCAAATATTAAAGGAATCAGCAGCTACCTACTATAACAGAAAGTGATTTACAGTGGTGGTTGCACCCAGATGGGAATCTCTGAGTGGGCATGAGCGGTGATTCATTGCTGTATTTTATCAAATATACCATGAATTGAAAAGCACACTATTTTTTTATGTATTAAAAAAGAAAAAAAATGCTTTCAACTAAACCATGACATGTCATTGATCTTAAGCTGCACTTCAATTTTTCAGAGATGTTAAAATGTGATCAGACAATCAATGAAATATGGTAATTTTTTTCATCAACTTGTCTGAATACATTTATCAAAGTAGCTACCTTTTAAAATATTCATAATTGTTTATACTTCTTGGTAATTTATTTGTGGTCCTAATAGTCTACAGTATTATGTACAGACAGAAAACATTAATAAAGAAAAAATACGCATTTTGTCTTGGATATTGTGTCATTTTACATTTCAGTCTCATCCTAGAATGGGTGGTTTCTGACTTTTTTTCTTTTCCTTTTGTGGAGGGAGAGGCTTAGTGTATTAGCCCAAGGAATATAATTCCTTGGGAAACAGGTAAACCCCTGTTCTTTGAATTCATGGCTAACCTCCTCCTAGCATGCTATGGGGGCATGTGACATCATCTTCCAAATGAAATAATAGATAACGATTTAACAAGCAAAGTTGCTGACCTAGGTTTCTACTCAAATCCCAATTTGAATGTGAAAGTTTTATTCTCATCAATTTCACTGACTGATTGCAGCTCACTGTTACATAATGTGAGCCATTTCTAACAAGGACAGTACCACCTATCAAGCAATTACCCATCCCAAAGCAGCAGCACAGTAGCCGACAAGGCCACTAGGATCACTGCTGCACATGCTAGGTTAGCATGTCACATTTCAGAGTCACAGTTACTGTTTAGAACTTAAGACTTTGAACTACTGAGGGGAGCTCTAAGAAAGCCAGGAGTTAGGATATGTGTATGAAGAGAACACTGACATTTCATTCCCTGAGTGGACATCTGCTTAAGCAGTGGAATGGCTGATGTACCCCACTCCTGCCCCCTGTGCCCATATGAAGGGCAGGGTGGATCTGAGGAAAGTAAGGTAGAGAACAGGGTCAGTGATACTACAGACCTTTCCCAAAGATTAAAATAAGGGTGTAAGAATTTCCCACCAGTTAGGTGGATACTGTGGAAAATTTGAGCCATGTTGCACCTATTCTGTCCCAGAGGGCTAAAGGCCCCAACAACAAGGATGTGAGGCATACATACTAGGATAGAAGCCAGCTGGGAAAGGGGGTGGAAGAGGCCAACAAGGAGTCATAACTCCTATTCCTGGAACTATGTTGTACAGAGGTTTCTTTTAGGGATCCCTTGAAGAACACTGTTCACCTCCTACCCAATTTTAATTAGGCCCACCAAAGAATTAGTGACAGCCAAAAAGGGGATAGAGCAGTACCAGTTAAGTTAGAGACATCTGTCCCCTTTCCCCTTCCTTTCCCCCGAAAATACTTAAGAGAGAGATGGGAAGGGTAAGGGTTAAAGAGCAGATAATGCTCCTCTCCTCACTCCATGATCTTAAGGTCAAGGTCTAGCCGACGCTGAAGGAGCAAAGGAGAAAAAAGTGGGCATAAAGGAAATCCAACACTGAAGTTTCAATTGGAAGAGAATGGGTAGGAGATCTGCCTATCCCTAAGGAATAGGAGTTTAGACTGTCAAACTAGAGTGGCTACACAAAGCAGGGTCTTTTTAGACACCTGACTCATCATTTATGTGACCCCAAACTCTGGTGCAATATTGTCATGGAATCCTTGGATTTCCACCATATCCATTAGAAGAACATCTTCTGGCAAATTAATTCTAGTAAGAAGCACTGATGAGTTCTGAAATTCTATATGTGTCTTTAGTATAATCCTAGGTGAATAGCATATTTGGAGGTTAAACAGGGCATCACTAACTAGACATTGTTGCCTACAATAATATGCAGAGTTACATTAAATCTATGATGCAAATGATTGTACAAGTGACAAAAAATTGGGCCCATTACTCCCACCAGTACCCAATCTATGAGGGCAGGTCTGAAAAAGAGTAACTGGTAGTGGGAGAGGAAACCTGTTGAGGTAACTTCAGGCCAAGGTTAACAGACTGCTGGCATGGGCAGGAGAGACCCACACTGAAACAAATCCACTATTTTGGTAATACACATTCTGAAACCCTCCAAATTAAGTTCTTACTGTAACCTGAAAAGGATAACTGCGACTTCAAAGGATTTATAATCTAAAAAAGGGCCCAAATGCCAGAGAATAAAACACCACTAATTTAAAAACAATATCAACAATTTAATGAATAAAAACTTACTTTAATTGGTCATATAAGGTTTTTCAAAGGGTCCAAGATGGTGACATAGGAAGACCTTGAACTCACTCCTCCATGGACACACCAAATCTAAACCTACATATAAAGCAATTGCTCCTAAAGAACTGAGGACTGACTGAACAGCTTCTGAACAACAAAGGATAGAGGGACAGCATATAAAACAGCAGGAAAGAAAAAGACCAGAACTCCCACCTCCTACACTGTGAACTACAGTGGGGAGGGATAGTACTGAGGGATCAGAAACAGATTTGTCTGCCCGAGGGCACAGAAAAGAAGGCACCGTTTAAACGAGCAACTAGAATATAAAGGAACCAGTCCTAGAACTCTGCCAAACAGCAGGAAGCTTCCCGGCTGTTTGGGCTGAAGGGGCTGGTGAGCACCACAATTTATATTCCCTCTCCACCTTGACTGCACATATGGGAGTAGTGTCTGGGTGCCCTAGCCAGCGAGCTACCTTAGTGAGCCCTGAGCCCCTAGCCCACACCAACCCCAGCCTTCCCGCTAAAGTGGCCCCAGCATCACACGTACCTGGACACTGCTGGACAATGTCTACAATAGCTCTAGTCATCTCACCAAGGCAACACAGGTATCAAGCATCCCGGGACACCCCAGCCTTGCACTCACTTTAGCTCCGGGGGACTCGCCAGGGTACCCCCTATGCAAAGTGCCCCAGGACCTCCCAGACCACACCTGTTATAGCTCCCGCTGTATTGCCAGGTTGCCCTCTATCCAGAGAGCCCCAAGGCTCCCCAGCTT